GTGCGCTCGAGCCCATTAATCATTTGTGTTAGGCAAGTTCATCCATCTTATTCCTTGTTTGAACGATTGCATGATTCTCTGCCTGAGTGATTTTCTGTTTAAGTGATTTCTTGCTTGCGTGATTGCTTGATTCTTTAAATGTGTGATTTTTTGCCTGATTGAATCCATACTTGCACGTTTACTCTATCGCCCGATCTTCCAAGCCCCTGCTGCCATTTGCTTTACTTTCCCTTGTCTATTTATCGCCCATTTTGTTCCCATTGGTCCCCTAGATTCCATTTATCTTACCTTCGGGGGGTATTATATTTGTGGTTCAAATTTTGCTCAAAAACCTTGGATTGAATTTCTTTTAGCATGCTCCCCTTGGGACTTGCTTGCCTTGTGGGTAGCCATTTCTCCAGGAATTTTGAACTCTGGTTCCACAAGGCTTCGGGTCCTTTTTGTCAACTCCCTCCAGGGACTGCGCGACCTTTCCAGCATGCTCTCTTGTGGACTTGATTGCCTTCTGGAGAACCATTTCTCTGGAAATTCTAGACTTTGGTCCCTCAGACCTCGGGGTCCTTTGCCAGCTCTTTCTTGGAACCGTACAACTCTTTGGCGTGCTCCTTCTGGAGACGCACCCACCTTCCAAGGTATTATTCCTCTGGAAATTAGGACTCCAGTCTCGCAGACCTCTGGGTGTCCCTCGCCAGCTCCCTCTAAGGACCGTGCAAACCACCAATGTGCTCTTTCTGGGGATGCACTTGACTTCCAGGAAACTATCAGGGAATTGAGGTCGCTCCTTCTGGAGGCCTTTCTCTTCTCAATAACCCTTTCTAACACGATTCTAAAACCACGAAACTTTCCACGTAAGCACAACACAAAGACTGTCCAGGCAGTGAGGGAGTCCGGGTGACGCCTATGGGAAATGCCTTTTTTTTTGCCACAAGTTGGCTGACACAAGCTACAAAAAGCAACAGCTCCCCCTCGTGTCAGCAACCTGCGCATGTGGACCATCTTTTCACCTCCTCAGGCGCTATCCATGGTTCTTGGGTAGGTGTCTCTAACTGCTTCATTTCCTTATATCGATCCCTATGTAACATAAGACTATAACTTCCTTATAGTCTCAATGGGTAAGGAAGATGGCTCCTGGTCAAGTGTCTCTCGAAGCAAGGAGTAAACTTCCTCTGGGGAGATGCTCATCTGTGGAAACCAACAGTTCTTATGGGATCCTAACATCTTACTATTCTAGGCAAGCATGTACTCTTCCGGGATGCACACTCGAGCCGGGGTAGGACTCAATCTAACTGTTCTCCAGAGAACCTAACCATTTTTTTTGGAAATTCAATCATTTATCAGGAATCTCAGCTTTGCTTCGGCTAGATCTATACTCTTCCAGGATGTGCAGCAAGGTCGGGGTGCGTTGACTAAACCCCATTTTTTTTTCCTTTTTATTTATTTCCCCGGAAACCCCATTTTGCCTTGACTAAACTGGTACTCTTCCGGGATGCGCAACAGAGTTGGGTTGAACCGTTTTAATGCGGCCTCAAACCAGCCAAAACCTTCAAGTATCAAACAAAATTTGATTACTTTGCAGGAACACCGAAAGGGTCGATTCCTCAACTCATTTCCAATCAGTAGAGAAGTCGAGAGCAATTGTTGGGCCTACTTTTACTACATCCAACACAGGCCGAGGCATCAGCAGTAGACTCAGTCTAAGCGTTTACTTCTTCACCTAGGCCTGCCAACAACTCCCTAGTAAACTGTACATGGACAGTTGGCGAGTTTCCCAAGTTGAAAGCATGCTGCACCAGTCCACCTGCTCCCACTGTGCGCTGCACCGATGGGACAGTCAATGGGGGGGGGGGGGGGGGGGGGTGGGGAAGGTATATAAAAGGGAAGCTAAGGGCAAAGAAGAAGAGAGGCGGATCCGATTCAAGATCGACCGAATGACTAGAGGCCGAACGTCAAACCAGTTCCAGAGAGAGAGAATACAGTATAATAGAGAGACAGAGAGAGAAGGAGGAGAGGTCGTCCATCTCAACCTCACCAGAGCTTGCCCCAACCCCGATCATACATCGAGACTAAAGGGTGTACGCAGGTCATCCCCCAGAAGGAACACCAGCCGAGATAAGCCTTCTCCTTCCTATGTATCCTTACTTTACTTCCATGTAGAGAGAATACCTACCCACTCTCATCATGGTCTACCTATTACGCTTCCACCTTCACCAAATATCAGACGGATTTGACGATCTTTAGATGGGGTACCCAAACCATAAACACCTCTATCATATCTACCCTCTCGAGTTCTTGTTTCCAATAGAGCGTGAATTGACTTGAGCGTCAAAAAATATTCTGCAGGGAAACCCTCTTTCGGTTCTTCCAGAAGCCTAACTTACTCATTTGCAAGTGTACGCAGAATCTAGTTAGACTTTCGCCTTAAAGGTGTATACCATTCATCCCTAGAAAATAAAATTCGGAAACCAAACTCTATTATCCGGGGGGGGGGAGGTATATAAAAGGGAAGCTAAGGGCAAAGAAGAAGAGAGGCGGATCCGATTCAAGATCGACCGAATGACTAGAGGCCAAACGTCAAACCAGTTCCAGAGAGAGAGAATACAGTATAATAGAGAGACAGAGAGAGAAGGAGGAGAGGCCGTCCATCTCAACCTCACCAGAGCTCGCCCCAACCCCGATTATACATCGAGACTAAAGGGTGTACGCAGGTCATCCCCCAGAAGGAACACCAGCCGAGATAAACCTTCTCCTTCCTATGTATCCTTACTTTACTTCCATGTAGAGAGAATACCTATCCACTCTCATCATGGTCTACCTATTACGTTTCCACCTTCACCAAATATCAGACGGATTTGACGATCTTTAGATGGGGTACCCAAACCATAAACATCTCTATCATATCTACCCTCTCGAGTTCTTGTTTCCAATAGAGCGTGAATTGACTTGAGCGTCAAAAAATATTCTGGAGGGAAACCCTCTTTCGGTTCTTCCAGAAGCCTAACTTACTCATTTGCAAGTGTACGCAAAATCCAGTTAGACTTTCGCCTTAAAGGTGTATACCATTCATCCCTAGAAAACAAAATTCGGAAACCAAACTCTATTATCCGGATGATCACACACCCCTATAAACATTATACAGTTTTCTCCCAACACTAATCATGCTCACTTCACCCCAAAAAAAAGGAGGAAGAAAGTTGCATTTATGTTAAGTTTTGATATTGTAATTTTATAGTGTTCCAATAGATTCCCGAGAAAAATCAATTCTCTAGAAAAAATGCATAATCATCTTTTCTGTTTTTTTTTTTAAAATAAAATTTTGGTTTCAGATATTTAATTATCAAATATTCTAAACTTTTTACTAACTACTTATTAATTATAAAAAATCTTTAATTTCCTTAAATGTTGAAATTCATCCAATATGCCCTCCTTTATCATTATATCAAAATCTGGTGCTACTAGAACATGGATTTCTAACAATTTAACTAATAAAATAAAATATTTAAAAACTACAAGATTCTTAAAATCATTATAACAAAAATATTTTTAAGAAAATTAAATACACAAAACCCTCTATAAATTTAACAAATCTTCAAATCAACTCTTTATAATTCCAGTTTGTAATAATAAAAGATTTTGTTTTTTTTTAACAAAGCCATTGATGATAAAAAGCTAATTAATGTGTTATTATAAAGAGTATGATATTATTAATGATATTATATTTATCATTAATTATTTGTATTTAATCTTTCTTTAGTTGATTATTTGTTTCTACTTAAATTGTAATAGGTTGATATCTTCTGCTGGATTAAATCATTCTATATTAATTGAATATATTGAGCAATTTCCATAATTATACTGAAAACAAGTTTTAAGGACAAATATAATAGAGAAGCTAAAAAATTTCCATCCTTAACATTTTTCATTTAAGTTTTCTGATTTTACCTTTTATGAAAGTCTACCTAAATATTTTTTTTCTATTAATGTTTCGTGATTTTTTAGGAAGGTCTTCCAATTACTAGAATTTAATATCGTTTCATATGATTTAGAAAAACTTTCCTAAATTTTTTAAAAGTTCATGAACGGTGGAAAGACTTCCTGAATTGTGGAAATGTTTCCTGAATTGTAGAAATGCTTCCTCGAAAGGATTCCTGAATTTGAGTTGTATAAATTAAAAAAAAAAATCAATTATATAATTTACAAAGGCATTCATAAATACATGTAATGATTTACGAATGCATTCCTAAATACATGTAATGATTTCTTTAATTTATACATGTTAGAAAGTTTTTCTAAAACTTTAAAATATCTTCTTAAATTTACTCTCAACTCCTTCCTCACCTCTGCGACACTCCAACCCTAATTTCTGCTGATTTTCTTTTTTCGCCATTGTTGTTGTTTTAGCTCGGGTTTCTTGAGTTTTTCACCCAATTATATCAGATCTATCTTCCACTATATGATTTTGAGCTTTAAATCCCGAAATCACTTTTCCATCAAAAAAACCCCAAAAATCTAAAAGATTCACAATCACAAATCACAATCAAACGAAAAGAACGATTCTAAACAAAACAAAGGATTCAAATTTCAGACCAGTCTTGGTCATTGATACATTTGTTTGTACACTATTTTTTTCTTTTTTTTAACTAATGTTTTGTCTAGTTAAGGTTAATATGGTCAAGTCTTTTGTAAAAAATATTATGGAAGTAATTTTTTAGAGTGTTAGTGTATATTAAGAACAAAAACTTAGATTAGATGCATCTAAGAATATATATATATATATATATATATATATGTGTGTGTGTGTTAAGTAGATTAGAATATGTTTGTAAATTTTTATAACAAAATTAATTACTATACTCAAAAAATCAATTTAGAAACATATGATATAATATTATATGTTAAATTTAAAATATAAATATTTCCTTTTTCATTATTGATATTAAATATATATGTTTATAATAAAATGATTAGTTATTGCCTAAAATAGTGTTTACCTATACAAATATTTAACTATAAAAATAAAAATAAAAAACAGAATTAAGTAAATAAATAAATATTGAAAAAATGTGGTGCTAACACATCAATAAGTGGTGAGATGTTGACGTACCGTACAGCAGGAGTATCAGAATCACCCCGATAGAAGAACCGATCTGAGAGTTTTAAGGAGTCACTTTGAGTCGTGTAAACATCATTTCCTAGTGGCCGTACTTCCAATGTTGATATCATTGGTGTTGATTGTCCCGTCTTGACGAGACAAATCTGCAAAGAGTTTGACTTCGGCTTGTGAATGATCTCATAATGGTCTTCTGACTGTACATCGACGGCAGTCCACAAATTAGGCCCTATATAAAGATCAAACTTGGGATATGTATGAAGCCCATCGTAATTGCCATATGAGAATCCAGCTCTTATGAGATAACCCATGCCCTGATTCACTATTAGATTGTAGCAGTTCCTTGGTCCTTCGCCTTCGGGAAAGTATCTCAAAACATTATTTGGCTTGTGATCTGATAACCAATCGTCGGCAGCTTTACCACTTTTTCCACTTTTGATGAATTCGGCATCCGATGAGAATTTCAGTTTTGTTTTTGGTTCGAAATAAGGAGATTCTTTAGTGGGCAACCCACAATCCAAGCTGATGAAACCTGCCAAGACGAAGAATATCAGGCAAATGTTGGTGAAAAAGAGAATAATTTACAAAATAGAACCACAAGCCTAAGGAAGACGTCCAAAGTTTAGCATTCCCCACTCTTGAGATATCATGGTGACCAAAATTTTCTGGAACTAATTTATAACTTTTGATTGTATATTGGACTTGGAGATATCTATAAACAGAACTTATAACTCAGATACCTTGTTGATCTTGATGTGTAATGGTAAAAGTCGCCAAGATCAATGCTAAAAGAATTCCTTGATGACCCTCCATTTCCAAGATAAAAAAACAAGGGTTTCGGAAATATAGAGCTTTTTTAACACAAAGAATAAAGTTTTTGAGAACTCTATCTTTTTTGTGTTTGTGTTAAAACATGAGAGTTCTATCTTTGAAACGAATAAGTGGAGTTTCTATATACATATTAAAAGATATATATATATATATATTACATATATAATAGTAATTGTAATAGATTAGTAGTCCAAGTTGTAAATACCTTAATCTTAAAAGATACCGCTTACAGGTTGTTGGTGGGAACTGTTCCCAAATTAGTGTTGGTGGGTAGCCATCTTGTAATGAAGTATAAACACCACCATTATCGTGATACATTCATGTTCTTAACACATCTTAAAAAGGAAAAAAGAAATTGAACGAAGCATCGTGATTAGTTTCAGACATTCAATATATATGTGCCCCAGACATCTAATTAACTAATTCTCAAAAACATTTTGATGCTGTTTTGTGTTGTAGGCACGTCACTAGTTTGATCGTGTACTTATTATATTGGGTGACTATCAATAATCAACAGTCATTTATTTTTGTATGATTTTTTTTTATATAACAAGTTTATTTTTGTATGATACAGCTTTTATATGTATCCAACTTGCCAAGTTTAGCATTATTTAATCATGAACATTTGATCAATGTACCAAACTTCATATCTACCCGCGCTATGAATTTGTTAAATATTATTTAATTTTTCATTATACCAAAAATCTAGTATAATATAGTAAAAGCTATCTTTGAGTTATTTCGGGTCATTTCCTCAAATATCATAATACCAGTAATAATTCAACCATGCAAGAAGTAAAATATAGTAAAAGCTTCCTTCACTCAATAGTATGTGAGAAGAGAACTTAATAGGACAATGAAGGAGAGAAGAATCTGTTGCACCAACTCTAAGGAAATCACACAATTTCAAACTTTGCCACAAGGAACTCCGCATAAGCTGTTAGCGTGGAGCAGGGGTTACCTCGGCTGCGAATTGCATGCTCGGTTTAAAAGAACTCTTTGAGTACACCTCTGATGTGCCTCCTTTCCTTGAATTCTCAGACACAAGATATTCTTTTAATTCATTAACAACGTGAGACATTGTTGGTCTTCCCATAGAAGAAGGATTCACACATGCTACAACGAGTTCAAGAAACTTCCAGACAGAACTAGACTCATAATCCCCAGCAAGACTTGTGTCCACGATATTTTCAATACCTCCCTGGGTAAGAATAAAAGCCACCCATTCTGCGATGTGAGGCTTTTCACGGTTTCTATCTATCACAGATTGGTTTGTGATAATTTCCAATAACACAATACCAAAGCTGTATACATCACTCTTTTCTGTCAACCAATTTGTTTGTTTATATCTGGAAAAAAGGAAAGGAAATTTCTCAAATGGGGTAGGAAGACAAGTTTAGTTATGATCATGTACATGTTCCGAGTAAAGCTTACTCATGGTCAAGATTTCCAGGAGTACCAGCAACAACTGTTGATCTATGCGTTTCATTCCCTATTGGAAATGATCTAGAAAGTCCAAAATCAACAAGTTTTGCTTGGAAATTCTCGTTGATAAGTATGTTCGTAGTCTTCACATCTCTATGAACCATTGGTGGTCTACATCCTATATGTAAGTACTCTAGTCTTGTGAACAAGAATCAACTCATAGTTATATGATCAACACAATTATACAAAAAATAATCATAACTTAATTCATTGGGTCACAACAAGCCAATCCATTAGGCTATTAACTCCATTATAAGGAAGGAGAGTCGAACTCCACACATGTGAGATGGTGTTGGTCTTGGTGGACACTAGACTAAAAACAAGTCGTTCAAGCGCTTGGAAATGTAAATGGAATAACAAAGTTAAAATAAATAGTTATTTATTTAAATAGTCTTTTTGATAATTATATTGTAAAGAATGATATTTCATAAAATAATCTATAAAAAGAATTCACTAATATATTTAAGTCTGCAGTTAGTCTGCTATTAATTTATATTTAATCTGTTGTTATTAGTTTATATTTAACCTATTTTCAATTGTATTATTAATTAATGTGTTAGTAATCTGCATGTAGTCTAACATTAGTAAAAAGTAGTTAGAAGGATAGCAATGATATTTATTAAAAACAAGTCGTTCAAGCGCTTGGAATATAAATGGAATAACAAAGTTAAAATAAATAGTTATTTATTTAAATAGTCTATTTAATAATTATATTGTAAAAAATAATATTTCATAAAATAATCCATAAAAAGAATTCACTAATATACTTCAGTCTGCAGTTAGTATGCTATTAATTAATATATAATCTGTTATTAGTTTATATTTAAACTATTTTCAATTGTATGATCAATTAGTGTGTTAGTAATCTGCATTTGTACAATTTATTTTTAGGAGAATATATATTTCATATTATTTTTTATAATATATGATTTTAGATTATTTTCTTTAAAGTAAAGAGGAAATACTTCAAAATGACCCAAAATAATAAAATAATGTGAAATGAGTACTCTATTAAGGGAAAATTGTGAAAATGATATTTTTTTTACGATTTTCATAAATACTAGCGCTACCCTTATAACTACTATTATTTGTAGACTAATGGCAGACTGAACGCAGATTACTGACCGACTACTGTCAAACTGTTTGGTCAAATAATTGAATGTAGACTAATACTAGACTAATTGCAAATTACTGGCAGACTAACATCAGAATGAAAGCAAACTAGTGAATCTCTCTTATGGATCATTTTAGAAAAGATCATATTTCATAATAAAATTACCAAATGGGTTATTTCAAAAATTATCCCTAAAATAAAAAGGGAAAGAAAATAAGACAAAACACAAAGATGATGAATGATGCTACACTTAAAAAACGAACCTCGTGCTATGTCTGTTGCAATGTTTAGTCTATTTATCCAGCTCAAAGGGGTGCCACCACGTTCTCCTATACTCACCCTCACATAAGTAATATCATATATATCCATCTTTATAAACATTAGTAACATCAAATTCTTTAGCAAAAGAAAAAAGTAGCATCAAATTGTGGCAAGGGGATCATATTTACCCAAATGGGTTTTTCAGATTTACCTGACAAATGTTGTTTCAAATCTCCATTGCTTGTATACTAAAAAATGAGAGCCAAGTGATTTTCTTCAAAACAATATCCAACAAGACTTACCAAATTTACATGGTGAATCCTCAGAAGTAGTTCAACCTGATATTTAACCATGCATGTGAAAGCATAGTGTGATTCCCACATTTTCTCTCATAATAAGAGGTTATGTTTTGTTGAGTTAGACAGTACCTCTTCCTTAAATTGCTTGTACCCTTGAGTTGGTGATTGAGAGAGCAGTTTTACAGCTACTTTTTCAGTGTCACTCAAGGAACCATGATAGACGATTCCAAACGCTGCTTCTCCAATAACTCTTTCAAAATTATTAGTCATAGTCTCAACCTCAAGAAACGTGAATATTTTTTTCTTCGTAAAAATTGATGGCATGATTGGTTGTTGGTTTGGAGCTACATAGGTAACCAAAGTTAGTGAGATTTTAGAGCCTTAACTATGCGGCTATGCCATCATGTTAACAGTAAATATCCATGCAAAGTACCTTGCGGTGTTCTTTTCTTTCTCATAACAAAATAGAGTGTTGTCTATGGAGTTATAGATGCAGATCAAATCACATATCAATATACGTTTGTTTTGTTGAATAGATTACAAATCAAAACAGAATCGATACAAATCAGAAACTAACTTGATGATTTCTTCTTCTTGGTTGAATGAACGGAGTAACGTCGATAGAGGCTTGCAAATCGCAATCTCCTAAGACAGAATTTCGCCCCTACTATGGTGTGAGTAGCTTCAATGGGCGTCTATCTTGCAGGATACAACTATCGATCTCTGTATTGACACCTTACAGAGATTCTAGCAAACCTATTTTGAGATTTCCAGAAACTGATATTAGAGAAGAAGAAGAAGATTGAATCAATCATATATCGTTCTCTCTTGGTTGTGAAGTCTTTAAATAACCAATTGATTCTTAGCAAGCGACGCAATGCTTATTGACAGAGGCGATCCTTGATCATATGCCTCTTCTAATCGATGGATACTTATCGAAAAATTGTTTGATAAGATTTAGTAAATAGAGATATATTTATGTTAATATGTGTATATTTATGTTTACACATCGACATAAATAAAAATATGTATTAATGTATATAAACTCCAACAATACCCCACATTTTCTTATTCAAACTCAACAATACTCCACATTTGAATAGAAAATAAGATCCATAATTTCTGAGAAAGTAGAATCAATATGCATCGGTAAAGATGTCTTTTGGACTTGAACCTTTCCTAGTTAACACTTATCGGATTTACTTTGTGGGTAGTGAACTCTTGTCTTGAACTAACCACGTCTGATAGTAAACCGAGACAATAAGTGAAACACATATGTCATCAGCTCATTTCAAGTTTATACGGTTGTGTTCATTTCGGCCCTGAACATTTTCCGACTTCGTGAGAGCTCTAGAGAATTTAGCCATCTCAATTCTCATAGGTGCGACCGCGACACCCCTCTCATATAGGTAACTTTAATTAAGAATAGTCCACTCTATCCCACTTTAGAAAATATATTAACGTTAGTAAGAATAAAAATTAATCCCTTAATCGTCAATGAAAACACATTTTACGTCATAGGAATGAGAAATGTGTGTTTTTTCTCTTTTGAGTCTTCCTCAGCCAGTTTGCCTCTTGAACTTAGACCATGGGATCTCCAATATTTCTAAGTAAGGTTTTCACTAAGTAATGACTCATTGTGTTGGCTTTAAACCCATTCCCCTCGAAGTGAATACGACTTGCTCTTTCGGTAGGCCTTTAGTCAAAGGATCAGCTAAGTTCTCCTTTGATCTAATATAATCCAATGCTATCACCCCATTAATTATCGTATTGTGGCATGTCTCCGGCGAATATGCCTTGACTTGCCATTGTAAATTTTATTT